CAGGCACTGAGGAATATATTGGCTTTGTTTAAAAAAAAAAATTAAAATGAATAAAAAATAGTGGTGCTATAAAGTGATTGTGCACTGTAGGTTTAACAATGAATGACAACAAAAGACGAGTTTGTTTTCTATGGGGTTTTAAAGAAACGCTCATCCAGCAAATGTTATAAGTATAATATAGTAACAGGAGTTTAACAGCAACCAAAGCACATTTTATAGATGAACATTACACATATTTATTTTTTCAATTATATATTGTTACTCATATATGCGTATAAGACCTAATCGTAGGATAAACAAGTTGCTCAAAGTTAAGGACTTACTAACATTATTCCTTACAGTGACAACTAAACTCAGGAGTTAAAACTTAAAAATACATTAAGGCCTGGTTCACACCTGGGCGTTTTACAGCGCGTTCCTACGCGCTGTAAAACGCTCAACATGTGAAAACCAATAATTGCCTATGGGCATGGTTCCCACCTGGTCGTTTTACAGCTCGTAGGAACGCGTTGAAAAACGCCCCAAAGAAGTACAGGAGCTTCTTTGGTGCGTTTTTCCGCGTGTTTCCATTGGTATTCCCGAGTGTGGATCGGGGTTAACAAAGCGGTAACCCACTTGGGAATACAGCTTACAGGTCTTACCTTGTCCGCGATCCCCGCTGCGTCCTCCGGTGCCGACTTTCGGGTTCCGTCCCTTGCGAGCGGCCACAGGGGGGCGGAGCTGGCGGGAAGTTTGAAAGTGAATTTTTTTTTTTAAGTAGAGAAAATAAGGAAAAAAAAAAATCATACCACCAGTGAAACCCGCGTTTCACTGAACGGGAAAACGTGCTTAAAAACGAGCTGAAAAACGAGCAGAAAAAATACGCTCAGGTTTGAACCCAGCCTCAAGTACCTTAACTATTAACAAAAATGTATCTTATTTGTGTATAATTCGGCTGAAGGGCCTCAAATCATCTCTGAATTGGTGCTGACATCCTTCTGGAAGGTGGCTACCTTTGTTCCCCATGGTCCCTGTTATAAAGTAGTCAACACTCCAAGCTCACTTCCGTGATGGACTACAATCTCAGTACAAATTAGTAAACTAAATGTGATATTGTAGTCCATCATGGGAGTAAGCTTGGAGCGGTGACTACTTTACAACAACACTAGTCACTGCAATATTTGTGAATCGGTTACAGCTGTGGGAGGGGCCATTTAAAGGGGAGGTTCATTGTGGCTGGAGTTCAGCTTTATTGGTTCAACATTTTAATAGTAATGCTTAATTCACATTTGTGTGCAGTTAACTAATAAAGATCTTTATGTTTCAGGAATGAACCTGGGAACCTATTCAGCATGGTGCTGGTAGCAATCACTCCGTTCATGTTTAAAGGATACCCTCTAAAACAGGTATGTACATAAAGAAATTGATTCAAAAAGACTCCTCATTACCCTCCATGGCTGTGATTTACTAAAGTTTGAAGCTGTGTTTTCTCAAACATCCAATCATGTGCTGGAGATTTCCTTTGCAACTAGAACACAGGAGAACCGGTCATGGTTGGTCTTATGTAAAAAATATTCACTGTTGGGCCCTATTCACATTTGTGTGTAGGGGCTGTCTTACAGATTCCACCATGAGACTCAGCAGTACAAAGGGGTATCTACAAAAGATTGCACCCCTGGCCAGCTTCGGGCAGCCCATGATGTCACTGGTTGCCAGTAGCCATGCCGGATGCTGGCCAGAGCATCCAGCCCACATACACCCCCCCCTTGCCTGAAGCCTAACAATTGCTGCCTGTCAACTGGCTGATAACACTATCGTCCAGCTGATAATGCTGTCGTCCAGCTCCTGGGTGATGATAACTGCAAAGAACACTGAGCCTAGTAGCTATTTATATTATAAGCCGCAGACTTCAGGTGACTTCTCACCACTAATTTTCAGAGCCCGAGTCATCATCAGGCAAAGTAAGCTAAGCTACATAGGTGGAAAACATCAAGTGTTCATAGGTAAAGTATTTTAAACTCTCTAAACATTGCCCAACTAAGTATTTCTTTATATATTTTTTGCCTAAGCACTTACAGCTGGCTCCACCTCTCTCAGCTCAGCTTCCCTGATCTTCCTGTCCAGTACAAGATGACAAGGGATGCTAAAGCCTCCAGCAGCTGTCCATCTACTAGCTTGCAGAAGGAAGGAGGAGCGGGGAACAGTGGAGTATTTCGCCTTGCTGTGCCTGTGTGTTTGTGGAGACACACAGCTTACTAGCACACTTAAGAGTCACACCATAGGACCCAGCAAAGGAAAGGAGCCACCCTTTAAGGATCTCAGGACCAGAGCTCAGGGGACCAGCTAAGTCTGCAGGAAACTAAAACGATGAAACATTACTATAAATAGCAACATCCATTGAAAGTAATTTAATCAGCATTTAAAAACATTAAAGCTTTAATATCACTTTCATCTGCACATTTATAAAAATGGAATCATAAATGCCTACTTGCAGAAACCCAGTCATGACTGATTCTCTTTTAAGAAGCATTAGGAACAAACCAATGACTGTCCCAGAATCCTTCCTGGTATAAAAAACATTTTACATGTAATTATCTATAGTTCATTTTTTCACTTCTTATAGCATAATTTTTTAAAACAAATGCACAAAATATTTTTTTTTTAAAAGCCATAATTTAATTTGCAAAAGCTTTTCCATGCTTAGTACAGGATAGATAATTTTAGCGTCACAAAAGAGGGACAAATCACAGAATACAATTAGTACTTTCCCATAGTGACACTTAAATTGGAGAGCATATTTTTCATTTTTTTCCCTATAAAATATATAATGAATGAAATTGTTATTGGAGCACGTGAAAATATCTGTTGATCTTACCAGAAATCCAGTCTCCTCAAACAATGCTATCAGCCTCCTGAGTCTCCTCTGTGGACTACAAAACACCTCCCCCTCTTGTTAGGAAGATGAGAGGGGAGTTGTTTGTAGTCCATAGCCTAGGGCGAGAAATGTGTAAGGCTTCATTCACCCCTGGCACTTGTGTTTTTGGGCTTTATTTGCAGTGAAAAATCTGTTAGGGTAGATGCTGTGTTTCTGCTTCTAGATGAATTAAATGATGCATTTTTCATTTTAATGCATCTTGTACCAAGCTGTAATATATTACATTTTTCTTCTTGGGTTTAGAAAGGAGAACTATGAGGTGAGTGATTTCCACTCATCCTCATAGTTAGAGCCGACCTGTGACAAAGAAGCTGTCACGGTTCGGCTCTATAAATCGAGAAGTAAGCAGAAACATGCCACTGATCTGATCACTTCCCGATCGTCTCTTTGCAGTGAGCGGTGACTGTCAGTCACGGCTCCACACAGGGATTCCCCCCTCCCCTCTCTGATCCTCTAGCGCTGAGTGGAGGAACGAATGGGGGAGGGGGTGAGCACAGCTGGCTCTGCTTCTAGATAGGCAGAACCAGCTGTCACTCACACAGCTATGTAGATCCAGACAGTATTGTCGGAATCTGTCCCGACTGCGGCGCTCTCAGTATATCGCGGGCAATAGTCACAGGAGGCGGTTAGTATATGTCCTCCCGTGACCCTAAAGAGAACTATGGGGAAAAACACTTACCCCATAGTTCTCTTTTAAATTCCTTCTGATAGTTACTGAAACCTCTTTAGAAGCTTTGTTATTGTATTTTTTTAATAACATGTTTGTAATCTTTAATTATGGTGATGAATGGTCTTGTTTATCAATATGCTGATCACATTGAATTGTTAGAATGTGTGCTTTGTAAATTTGAGGCCAATTTCAACAAAAAGATCAAGTTTGTTAAAATCACCCACTTGTACAGTGTGTATAAAAAGAAAGCATTGTTGGTCTAAAGAAAAACAATATACAGGATGTGTCTTTCTTCTGTATTATAAGTAATAATAAAGTTATAGCTACATGAATAGGTCCATGGCTGAAATGTGACTATGCCTCTGGAGTTAGCATATTTAGAGGAAAAATGTCTGTTGCCATTAATGATTACAGCTGCCACTTTACTGGTAAAAAATGTTCACCTAAAAAAATACAATAAAGTAATAAAATAAAATAAATAGAAAAGAAATAGTCAAAATAGAATATAAATCGAATATACATAAATAGAAAAAAAATGCGGGGCTCCTCCCACAAATCCGGCCAGTAACTGGCCTCAAACATAGTTTTCATTCATATGTTAAATAATTCTACCTGCTTTATTTCTTTTTTAGTTTTGTACTTTTTTTTCCATCAGTTAATTTTAAAAATAAATGGCATGGTGGTAAAAAAAAAAAAAACAGTGCTATTATTATTATTATTCAGGATTTATATAGCGCCAGTTTGTGCAGCGTTTTGCAATATAAGAAACACATTACAGTTACAATACAAATCAAGACAAGATGATAAGGAGGGCCCTACCCATGAGAGCTTACAATCTAAAAGGGAGGGGCAAGTGATACAAAAGGTGGTGCTGTGGAGTCCTACTGCCCGAAAGACGTAATTTTCTAGAGGCAGGATGTTAATGTCTTCCCCTTGAAACTGTATCATTCTGATCTGCCTCCATGCCAGAAAAGATTTTAGCTGCTAGACATCCCCCTCTTATCCTTGTATAATTTCACAATAAAAAAATGTTAATTGCCTTTGCTCTCCCTGAATTTTTGGAACATGTCTATTTCTCTGTATTTATAGCAAACAGTCCATTCTGCTGCTTTAGATGACTCTTCTCCTGGCTGATGGGCGACCTTTCAACTGCTTGAGTCACGAAAATCCAGGTCCGGTGTTTTCATTTGATGCAGTCGTGCTGGAACAGGATGACTGACATATCCAGTTTATTTTTGTGCCAGCGTGATGCGGACAGTAAGCCACACAGGGCTGGGGGAAAGCCCTTCAGTAATCTGATGATGGCTAATGGGCGATCGGTTGGGAAGCGTGGAGTTAAATGGTCAGGAGTGAATGGGGGGAATGAGGAGACAGAGGGAGGGAGGGGCAGAGGGAGAGAGAGAATAGTGTGGGGAGGCATGAAGTGAGGGAGAAGTACAGAAGTGAGGGAGGGACCTGTCCTACAGCCCTACAGCCTGGGACTCAACATAGAGACAGAATGAAGCTGACAGTCAAATAAATAGAAGCCATGCAAGACTAAAGTGGAGAGCACCCTGAGCTAGGTGTGACATATAGGAGACAGCCCAGGCACTTCTGAAAGGGAGGGTCTGACACTTGTCAGCCAGCGAAAGACCACTGCCAAGTTATATCCTGACAGCATGCTGCTTGCAGTCTATTGAAGCTATGTGCTTTAACTAGAGGCAATCCATTAAGGCTATGTGCTTTGACTAGAGGAAGTTTATTGAGGCTATGTGCTTTGACTAGAGGAAGTCCATTGAGGCTATGTACTTTGACTAGAGGCAATCCGTTGAGACTATGTGCTTTAACTACAGGCAATCCATTGGGGCTATGTGCTTGAACTAGAGGCAGTCCATTAGTACCTGTAGAAGAACAACTGGACAACCCTAAGGAGAACCACAAGAAGATAGATGCAGATTCAAGGTAACTAGAGGTGGGGTACACCTGGCGTGTATCCCTGTGTCTGCTGAGATGTCCAGGTTGCTCCTGCTCCTCCTTTTGCTCCTCAACTTTGTGGCACTGATGCCAGCCGATGGGCCCCCAAGTTGCCATGAGGTGCGCGCAGCATTCCAGCTCCAGCAGGTCGGGAGAGGACGACTGGTGCCCGAGGTACCTGTTGAGGGTGAGTGTTCCATGCCCACCATCTATTTGCTTTAATTAAAGATGCTTTGTGCATGTTGTGCTTGTAGTGATGGTATTGAACACTGTCCTAAAATAATAGCTAATATTGGGGCCAGAGGGCTTTATTCAGGGATGTGTTGAATGGTATTCAGTCTGTTATATGCTTTATAGTTCTAAAAAATGCCATATTTATATAACCACATTGATACAGAGCGAATAGTGACTGTCCATGTTGGGACATTGTACATACATAGCTCTGTTATAATCTCTGCCTTGTAATAAAACACATTTAATTAATTGTCATTGATGTGCCTATTCAGTAGGATAAAGTACAATGTGCAAAATACAGTAACTCATTTCAACCAATTTCTTTGTATTATTATAAGCAATGGAAAGTGATATCTGATTGCCTAGAAATATTATTATAGATTATATTATTACACTTTGCAACGCCTTATAGAACAAGTAAGGCAGAATTCTTGTATTCATCATTAGTGTTCGGTGTGCTTACCGTGCTGTGTAGTTATCTTCGGTAATAGGATTAAATGTGGATCCTCTGTGAGCAGTTTATACAGTCAGATTATGTGATGGGTGCAGAGCAAGCAGTGTCTGTCAAGGGTTATGTTTGGCTACTTTTTTGCCATTGATCTTCCTGGTAGACTGTCATACAAAGCCCAGTATCACCCTGTAGTAGCATCATATTGTCAACAGCACATATTAGCCATAGACAGGTAGATGTTTCTCCTAGAATGATAGGCGGGGCAACATCTGTCATCTCCACCCTACCAAGACCTCCCATCTTGTCCTTTTGCAGCATCCACCTTTTTTATCCATTTGTTGCCATGAGAAGTTGGAAAATCTTTGTGTGCAATAATGAGCACTTCTGAAATCCAGGCATACGCAGCACCACCTCCTCAAGAATCTCTATACAGCCCAATTCGATCTCATCAATGCTCAAATCAGACTCATGGGTATGGTCACCTTTAGGGTTGCTTCACACTGTTTATAGTGGTGCACATGTTGGTGCAACGTGTGTTTTGGGTGCACACTGTCAAATCGCACTGCATATATTTAAAATAGACCCATTAATTATCAGTACAGTTATCATACGATGTACGAATGACTCGAAGAGTGCAACCCTACGGGCTCATTTGCGTCCAGGATCATCCCTGAACCCATATAACTTTCAGACTTGCGTACAGCTGGGGAGTCTGTCAGTTTGTCATTGACTTGGGTCAGGCTGCTGGCTGCGGCTGTACACAAACACCTATGACTCTCGGGTGCAGAAATACACCCCTTCTTGATGGTGTATGGCCCTCTGCAGCTGTCTGGATATGCTGTCTTAATGATGGTAAGAGCGGGGAAGTTAACATTGGCATCTGTGTGCGCTCTTGTACTATACCTGCAAGATGCAGAGATGTCCTCTAGGTACAGGTGAAACTCGAATAATTAGAATATCGTGCAAAAGTAATTGCAGTAAGTGCTGCAAAAGGGGCCCAAACCAAGTACTGAGTACATATGCATGCGTGTACTTTTCAGAGGTCCGATATTGTTCTATGTACAATCCTTGTTTTATTGATTGCATGTAATAATCTACTTTTTTGAGGTTGTGGATTTGGGGTTCTTGGGGTTTTCATGAGCTGTAAGCCATAATCATCACAATTATGACATATCACGGCTTGAATTATCTTGCTTTGCATGTAATGAGTCTATCTCATATATTAGTTTCACCTTTTAAGTTGCATTAGTGAAATAAATGAACTTTGCACGATATTCTAATTATTCGAGTTTCACCTGTATAGTACAAGAGCACCCACAGACTTATTTCACTATAACAAATTCCTGGTTGTCATATAAGTAAAGTTAGCATATCTCTTACTTTCTGTGCTTAGATTAAAGTGTTCCTAAACCCCAGTACAAAAATGTAATATATTGTAGCTAACAAGACCTTAGATATGGTCACTGCATTCACTTTAATTTTCCAGGCTGAGAGCATTTTCAGCAAGTACAGAGATACCTGTTGATCTTACCAGAAAGTTTGTGTCCTTGTAACTTACTGTGTGCGGAAAAGAAAGCACACAGATCCACCATATAATAGAGATGAACAAAGGCTGACATGTTTGAAGTCCAGTCTGTGTGACAACCATGGCTGCCACCAGAGATACAATAGAAAAATGAGTGTAGCCACCAAAGGACTGGAAGTGTGCTATTCACAGGATTACCAGGTAAAGAGAAAAGTAAATAAGCCTGGAAAAAGAAAACTAACGCAGCCACTAAATCTAAGGACTGGTATGCTGCAATATATACCATATTTGGTTTTGGGTTTGGATACACTGTAACAGAGCACTATGAACAGGGGCATCCCTACACTTTTTACCACCTGAGCCTGGGGGTTGTGCTGGCGGTGCACATTTTTGGGACCGGGGGTTTGTTGGTGTGGGAGTACCTCTGCCCACTGATGTCCCTGGTTGCCAGGAGCTGGGCAAGATGCCAGCCCGGGGGTCACAAGTTGCTAAGAGCCCTTAGCAACCTGAGATGCTCTGGCCGGAAAGGGGGCAACAGGTGTGCCATGTGACCCAATGCGATGCCGTCTGAGGCCAACGCCTCAGGCTTCTTCATTATAAGGACATCCCTGACTACGGATACTTCTTAGTGCTTTTAGCAATAAATTAAAGGATCAGTACATGGAAGACTGCCATTGGAATGTTATCTCAGTGGAGATGGCTGCACCTGTGTTCATATCACCAATCATTGTCACAAACATACGGTAACTTGCTTCATTTTAGACTATGAAGGCTGCAGCAGAATTAGTGAGACTCTTTGTTGGGTCAGAGGTGAAAACACTGATGTCTGTCTATTATAGCTTGGATATTGTATACCGTATTTTTCGCTCCATAAGAGGGAAATTACAGTGCGTCTTATGGAGCAAATATTCCCTCCACACACACGGCTCTCGCAGGGTGAAGTGTGAGCCACTGAGGGGGTTCGGAGGTCCGTACCTCACCTGGATGACACCCGACCGGAGGGTGACACCAGTCCACGGCGCTGAGTTTAGTCCCGTCAGGGCAACCGCCGCGTCCTGATCCTACAGGGCCGGCGTCATCTGATTCTCCTCCTCTCCTACTCCAGCTGTGTGGGCGGGCAGTACAGAGCGGCAGAGCTGTGACTCAAGGTGGCCATACACTCTACAACCATCGCAAGACTTTAGTCTTGCGATGGTTGTACAGGGATTAAAAAAACGTACGATCTGCCTATCTTGGACAGGCAGATCGCACTCTCGATCATCGCAAGCCCGCCCCCCTGAGGGGCGGGCTTCCGATGACCGCAATGCTGAACGGGCAGTGTGCGCGTGCGCACACCGGCCCGTTCAGCATTTATCTTCCGAGCACCGTTCTAACCAGCCGAGAATCGTACGATTCCCGGCTGGTTTTCGAACATGCTGGTTCGACAGAAGACGTGCGACCGTACAGTAGAAACGGTCGCACGTCTCCGTTCACACTGCTCGATTATCGTACGAAAAACCGATCGCATACGATTATCGTACGATAATCGTGCAGTGTATGGGCACCTTTATCGAGATAACTTTTTTCAAAACGGTGAGCAACAACTTGAATGCAATGGATATTAAAAGTATTAAAAGTAATTATTCCTGCTTTGCATAGGTCACTTCTTAGCGTTAAATATTTGTGATTTAAAACAATTCATCTTCGCACAACATTTAGAGTTGGTTCACATCAAATCCAGTGCTTTCTGACTTCTAAACCAGAAGTCAGGTCGATGGAGATCTCGACGAGTTGGAACTTTCGACAGAACACCGGCTCTTTCATCAACCTGTGGCTCTGTCCAGCTTCCAGCCCAGCTCACTGTCATCATTGGTTGCCGGGATGCCCTGGTTGGTGTCCTAGTGAGCTCTTGGCAAACAGTGACGTCACTGAGCTGATGTGGGACTGGACAGAGAGGCACGGCTCTAACACAGGCAATAGTTAGGGTAGGGACCAGCTCTAATCATCAGTGTGGGACTTCCTACTTTCCTACTACAGTTTAGTTATACTTTGACCCTACAGGCACAATTCTAGGTCAAATACCATCTCCGCTGCTGCTAGCTGTGGTTCCTCTCTCCGGCTCCTATGTCCTGTGGTGATTTAGGAGCTGTCAGAATGGACCACAGCGCATGGTAGAGGAAGCAGGTATTTAGCACAGGTATTCAGCACAATGTAAAGGGTTGGATACCTGCGCGGCTGGGGATCTGCTGCATGGTGGAGTTTTAAGACATGGGCCACCGGAATGGTACGCAGAAGCATCTCCTGTTGCCAAAAATGTTATAAGAAAGCTGATAATATTGATAGAGATTTCAGTTCAGTCAACAGGAACTTACAAGAACACTGGATTTATGGCAGGATGTATTGTACTTACCTTAATGAAAGAAAATGAATGCAGCCAGTACACATGAGAAGTGGTTATCGGCAATATATTACATTTTTGTCCATGGATTTAGATATGCTTCAGGATTCAACTTTCATCCTGGAAGGGGTGCAGAGCTAGAATTTACTACACAGGGATCTTTGTGCATTTTTACATCTGCACATTTGTTGAATTCTGTACCAAATGTAAAAAAGGAAATGATCTGGAAAATGTGGAATTTTGCCCATTGTGACTAATCTGGAGATTGATGTCAGTTCAGTTTTGTAAACTCTTTATTTAACCCGTGTTTACTACTTGATGTAAATACTATTGCAAAGTAGGAACTTATAGAATAAGCCCCCGTTCACACTTGAGCTTGGTCACACATGTGTATGTGCGTTTGTACATTCATTCATGCGTTTTCATTCATAGGCTTGAGTATTTTTGTTTTAGCCAATGGAAAGCTGGTTACTAGGAGGAAGAGGAGACGGTTATTATGCACACAATAGCACAAATTGTTGTTCAGGTGCTCCCATTGTTCCAAGTCTATGGGGTTCAAAACACGTGATTCTGGACGAAAAAAGCTCAAGTACTTTTTTT